CATAAAGTTGCAAATGAGTTGCTTATTTTAGAGGTAAAAGGATCATTCATTTTGATCCTTGAAATCATCGATGACTGCCTTCATTACAGTATTGTTTTGTATCTGTAATGGCTTTCAATCTTAGTAAACTTCACAGGGCTCATTCTGATTAACTATATTACATTAACTGAGGTATTAAACCTGAATAGACTTGTTGTCTGTTCTGACAATCCTGAGCTGGCTTTTAATATTTTTTGATACAGACTGGCAAAATCCAAATACTTCCCACTGCAGAGGTATGTTGGAAAAATAATTTTCTAGTGGGTCATAATGCACTGCCATAGCCACAAATAATTCCGCAGCCCTAGTAGGAGGAACACTTTCTTTGTAAAAGGATCATTCTTTGTAATTTCTTTTTACACTTTTTAGCATTCTTTGTAAAAGAATCTGGGAAGTAACACATTCAACATGCAAATATAACAGTATGATAACCTCCTTAGCATTTTAATTTATGTTGTTTAATCCAGTTTCAAGTTCCTGTCCTGAAGGTGGGGTCAATAGAAGGCAAGAAAGTCCTTTATAATTTACTGTTTTAGAAAATGTAGTCATATTTTGGATAGAAAAGTTAAGGAAAGGATGTTAACCATGCAGTGATTTCTAGTGGATGTCACAGGTGTGAGATGCCAGACCTAGCTAGTCCAGCTGTCCAGTCGATGTAGTTTTTGTTTCAAACAGAAAGGCGGTAATGGAAGGAGTTTCATTGTTGCCCTGGGAACCTGTAACTTTAAAAGACAACAGAGCATCACCAGGCGAGTAGATGGCACTTAGCAATACTTTTATTATGGGCCTGATACTGTGAAGTCCGCTCCTGTGACAATAAAGGCACTGGAATCCACAACTCTTGGAATCCCCCAGTACACTGAGTATTTCTTCGTGGTTGCCATTTGAACCTATTCTCAGTTCTCGGAATTTCAATCCAATAGGATTTACCTCATAAAAGAATGACCCCCCTGAGAAGATCTCTAGTGAAGATGCCCTCATCCTGTAGGTTTGGAGACAGGATGTAATGACATTTAAGTAATAGCAAGAAATTGGCAGATGTTTCGAACTGCTGTGCTCTTCAGCTTTTTAATGTGCCCTCAGAAAGGAGTATCAGGAAATATCTCTGTGACTGTTAATCTCTTTTGTTTTTAAGCAGTGTCACTGTCTTTTGCAGGTGCGTGTTCCTCTGGCTAATAACACCAACACATTTTCCAGGGGGCTGTAAATGTTCTTTTGACTTCTATCACTTTATAAACCCAATCTGTACACAAAGAGTATTTGAAAGTGTAATGTCAGGGAGAACTAACGTAGAAGCTAAAGTCAGTCTTGTTTCCCTTCTAATATGTGTACATGGTAAAATGTGCACATGTATGTGCATATAGTAAAAAAAAAAAAAAAAAGGCAACAAGAAAGGAAGTCCACTGCAGAATTTTGATTATTTGCTCTTGTCTTCCTATGCTGGCATTTGCCCACCTTGTCCTGTGGCTTTCAGGAAAGCTTTAAAGTCTCCTCTGCTTTGGTGGATGTGGAATGACTGCAAGGTAGGGGTACACGCAAGTGGGGCGAGAGAAGGAGAGAGGGAATTTAACCTTTGACAATTTGTTTCTTGAGTATGTAGGGAAGGTTGAAATGAACTGTGTTGAAAAAGGCGATTACAAGACTGCCTGTCTCTTGATACCACATGTAAGGTATAACTATAAAACTGGTGTTTTTTCACCATCTCATTCCAAGGGGTTACTTCATGCAGAAAAAGGGGAGTCCTGGTGCAATAATCTAGATTAAATAAACAAGTGTTAGGGTTATTTTAGAGGGAAGTAGTCCCATTATTTACTGCAGCTCTTTTTTCATCCTGTTTCCATAGTGCTTCCTCCTGCTATTCATCAAGCTTCTCCCAATTTCCCAGTCTGAAGCTTGAGAGATATTAATGCCCTTGGAAGGTTTTCATAGTATCTGATCTTCCTTCCTGTAACAATAAGCTCTAGTTCCAGCAACAACCTCTGGGTTGTCTGCTTTTTATTATTCTGGTCCCCAAAATTTCTTTCTGTATGTCTGTTTTCTGTGGAGGTTGTAAATACTCAGTGACATTATTTAGCATCTGTTGCTGTGGGTAGCTACAATATGGTGTCCGAAGAAAGGCAAACAGTTGAATTACAGGCAGTTTCATTATTCTTATCCAAAGAAAATGTACATTTGTATTAAAAAATAACATTACAGTGTTTAAATACTTTTTCCATTATCACTGTTCCCTATATTTTTAGCAATACATTTATTAAGTAACTTCTGAATGTAAAAATTGAAGTCCTGTCCCTGCAGTAGACACAACTGCCTACCTGGGTGGGAAAAATACCTGGATGTGTAAAGAGGCTGGAGAAGAAATGCCATCTGACCTGCTGGAAAAACTCAATCCAAATTATACATGAAGCATGCCAAAATTCAGGGGTAGGGAATAGCTGGTGATAGGCAAAAGGAGAAGTTGACTTCTGTGGCCCTTTATTGTTGAGTCCGATGGCACAACTATTTTACTGATTAGTTATGAGAGTCTTCCAAAGTAGTATAAGGTACAGTAAGAGCCATAGAAGGCTGCATGCCCCTTATGTGGTGCATAGGGAAGGTTTAGTGGGAAGGTTTAATGGCCTGTCTTTCTTACACTCTGGAGATATTTTTTGGGGTGATTATGTGGAATTTGGGTATTACATACTCTCTCTATATATATATGATATATTGTAATGAGGAGTACCTTAAAGGCACTAAGAAAGAAAATGTGTTAATTGCTGTTGAGACATGTCTCAGAAAATGTGTGTAACAGACCAATGCATAAGTGAATAGAAAATACTGCGGGCGTTGATTGGAAATCTATATAATTCTGGAGGAAAGAGAACCCTATCAAGCAATTAGGGTGATTATAGCTATTGATGAAAAACATCTCATCGGCCTAGGCTCTCATAAATTGGTAATTTGATATGTTAAAAACAGACATCTAGTAATCTGATAATTTCTTTAATTACCTGGAAAAACATAGGTGGACTTTGTGTTATGGGTGAGTATTGCAAGCCAACCATTGTAATTCCCAATGGCGAATATCAGTCTCTAACCTCAGAAACCTCTTTCAAGTAAGGAGTAGATCATGAGAATTTCTAGTCCTGTCTCATCTAATAGAGTCCATTGCATGTGCACGATTACTGTATCTCTCCTTTGTAAGTAGGACCACACTTGCATCTCTCATGTCTGTCGTCTAGCTCAATACAGGAGTTACTCTGCTCCTAGTTGTATCCTGGTAATATTTTTAGTCCAAAAGATCTGGCAAATCATTAGGTATCTGCCTGGTCCTTCTTGCTCTGCTGTTATTTTGTGGAAGCTCCATTTGGGATAGGAAATAGAATAGGAAATAAAGACCTGATCAAATTTGCAATGTTAGGTGGGTGAGGAGCTGGAATGTTACTCAGATGAGAAAACACACTTAAAAGCTTCCCATGCTGCCCTAAAAGACAGAAATACTGAAGATACATCTCTAAAATAAATTACATATATACATGCAAAAGGAGCTTGCCTGTGGAATAAATATCCCGAAACCGAGTGGAAATTCCCTTAGAAAGGCTCCCCTTCCTGTCACCGCGGCTCTGCGTGCGTGTGCGCAGTGCTTGTCAGTAGCAGATGGTGTTTGCAGCGCGTCAGTCACGGCCTTCACAGAACTGAAAAGGCAAAACATGCCGAGGGAGGAGGGCTGCGTGCGCCTGCTTGTTTCCTGCCTCCTGGGTTGCACATATGCAGGGGTGGGAAGATCGCTGTAAGTGAATTAGCGTGTGTGGACGATCTTTTGGCTGCTTGCAGAAGATGAAGTAGCAGATTGGAGCTGTTGTTATTTTCTTTTTGTAAATATTGTTTGTGTGTGTGTGTTAGTAACTTCAAAAATACTTCATGGATAAGAGATGGTTCTCTCTGCAGTTCAGGTCAGTGGCAAATTTGCCATTTTTTTTCTGTCCTCTCCCAAATTGCTGTTCTGTATTTGACACTTCTGGATCCTTTCCACCTGCTGCTGTAGTCCCCACCAGTTACCATCCCATTCTTGGGATGGGAAGGAGATTGAGAGGGGGACCTGGAGCCTTCTCCAGAGCTTGGTGGAGCAACACCGGCATCCAGTGGCCTTCCCTGATCATCACAAGCTGTAACTCTCAGTGCCAAAATTATGGAGAAATTGGAGGCACTCCTGTTTTGTTTGGGAGTCTGAATGAAAGCCCTTAATAAAAATCAGAAATTAGCCCCTCGCTGTAGCCCGGGGCGTTTCTGTGGTGTTGAGGTGGTGTTTTGTAGTGTGCATGTTGCTACTTTCACTCCTATCTCATTCACCGCTAACTACTTAGGGTGGAAACTTTGTTCCTGCCGGCTGTTCTGTGGACATTTGGTGAAGGTGTGGGTTCGTGTCACAGAACTGATAGAGAGATGTAGAAGAAAAAAAAGGCCCCTGGCTTTGTTTCCTCCTGTCCGATTTGGGTGCTGTCTTAAGATTTGTTTTCTTGAACATTGGCTCTGATTTATTAAATCCTCTTTGGCTCTTTATTTCTCTCTCTCTGCCTTTCTCTTTGTAAACAAATCTTTCCATGTGTCTGATTTTCTTGTTGTGCTGTTTCCTGCTATGCATTTTAATTCAGATCTCATGCATAGGCAAATGCTTTCCCTCTAGCTGTGCCCTAATGAGTCATTTTTGCCATCCATTCTTTTAATAAAAATAAGTATTTAAAGAAAAACAAATGAACATATTCTTGTGCTTTATATTGGCACAGAAATCTTACACGTGTGGAGCTTCTGGGCATTATTATGAAGAAAACAATGAATAATAGAAATAAGAATCTACCATTTCTGTAACATTAATTTGCATGGCCAATTGTCAGGAAAATTGTATTATTCTGGGTTTTATTCTTTAGTTTTGCAGAAAAGGAAGTTTCAACAGGGTTTCACGTTTAACCACACCTGTTTGTAGGCGAGGAGGCATTGGGAGATTGAGAAATCAGTCTAGGGAGTGAGAGGCTTATCTGTTTGGTGCGTGGAGAGGAAGCTGCTGTGTCCTTGACAGCAGTGAGACAGTTGTCTAAGAAAAGAAACAACAAGCTGATCTTCCTGACTGATCTTCCTGTGCTTTCCCTGCAGCATGAATCAGCTTTTAAATATTTTGTAAATTAATACAGGTGTGCTAAAGGCTTTGTGCCTGGTTGCTACACCTGCACTCACTATGTGCTCAGATTTGTAGGTTTCATTCTTTTAATCTTATCTTCTCTAATTGTTTTTTAACTGTGACTGTGTCTTTTTTTTTGTAGCCTCTCTTTTCTTACAGGCAGGTCTTTTGCATGATCCAGTGTGACTCTTTTATTTAATTTATAAAATACAAGTATTTATTTATGAATATGTTTATAAGTAATATTGATAAAATTTTGACAAAAGTTAAAAAGAAGGACCGGAAAAATAACGAACAAAACATCCATTTAGCTTCAGAAAAGCTCTTCTCCCATCTAGCGCAGAAGTTTTCTTAACGCACTTTATTGCAGTGTGTTGTATTCAAAGTGTCTTTTTTTTTGTAGCCTCACTTTTCTTACAGGCAGGTCTTTTGCATGATCCAGTGTGACTCTTTTGTCAGTGGTATAATGTGGAATAGATTGATTCTGCCTTCTTAAGACTGAGCTACTCGCAAGTCAATCTGAAGACTTTGTAGACCACTGGATCTCATGAGATCCAGGTGCTGGCACCAAAGTGTAAGGAGGCTCCTGAATAGTCCGAAATAGTGGGGCGTTCTTTCTTGCTCTTAGTTTTTTTGTGGTGTGAAAATATTGTAAGCAGATTAAAATGAGAGACTTTGGGCTGCCATGCAGAGATACGACACAAGGCACAGGTTTAAAATACTGTGACCAGGAGGAATATCCAAAGTGAGCAGAATCTCTTTTCTCAGGGGCTATGACATCTGGATTGTCAAGCAGTATGGAAGAATTTGATATTTAGTAGAGCCTATAGGTTCTTGTGCAACAAAAAGTGCCATTTTGTGTGTATTCTTTGATGTATAGAACTGTATCTGTGATGGAGTGGCACATGCATGATGGAGTGAATGAGCTTGTTGCTTTAGTGTCAGGGGACTATAATGTAGTTTTAACATCTCAAAGATCTGTAAAACCATTAGAATTAAATTTTTCATACATTAGAGTACAAACCTAGGGAAGTATTTTATTTTCATTGTTTGTGGTAGTTGTGGCATGTCAGCCCTGTGTTTAAGGACTTGGGCAGTCACAAGCTCAGAAGTTTTTGTTTCACTTGGTCTTGTATTTTAGTTTTAGGAGAATACACAGTTAGGTGAAAAGTTTCTACCTAACTTCTGTGCGCTTTGTTTGTCTTTTATGAAGGAATTATTTAGAGGGAAGGAGAAATAAAACATTACTCCAAACTTTATAACATTTACTCAAGAAATAATAATGATCTTCTGTGTTAATCTTTTTGCTCATAGAGGAAGAATTACTCAGTAACTTGTCCATATTCAATGAAACCTGTGTGAAGTGGCAGAGGAAAACGGGAAGATCTGGTGTGCAGAAAACATACACAGTAAGTGATGCAATATTTAACTGAGGGAGAAGCCTCGTCCTGGTTAATTCTGGACAGTCAGCAATGGAGAACTGTTTTGGGGTTTGCTGGCAGCATTAGTTCTTGGCTTTTTCTTTCCAGTGAACCACCTAAAACCCTCCATGTGAGAGAGGAAGGAAACACATCCTTTCCCTAGCATCAGTTGAAGGGCTCGACAGCTGTTGGGGTCCCGCTGCAATAAAGCATTTAAATGTCTGCCCAAAACTAGGAAAAAAAAAAAGCTTTTATTTAAATTACATTAGAGAGAGCTCACTTTGACATAGAAAAGTACAACTTGTGCTCTGCCCCGCTCTCTGATGTAATTATTTCAAGTAAACACCAAATCGCATGCAGATACCGGACAAGAAATGAAAGGTAAATTGAAATATTGTGTCTTACTCAAGAGATTCAATCATCTTATATTTAAACATTTTGTAACTTTATTTCCTGGAAATTGAATGCAGCTTTTGTAACTACTTCTTTTGCCACCTGTAAGCATAAGAGTAAATGTTAAAATATACGTACTTTGAAACAGAAATACATAAAAATTCAGGAACAAATTGCTTAGTTATCTAAATAACTAAATAATAGTCAAGAATTCTTTTGACAAGGACAGCATCCAAGAAAGTTTGACTTTTTTGAGCATGCCCAAACATGGAAGGAAGAACTTCTAGAGGTGGGAAGCTAATATGTAAAACATTACAAGGCTGGTTGTTAACTTAGGGAAATAACCTGTCCTATAGGTTATAAACTAGTGCACTGTCAATCTGAGTGCTTTTATTAAGCACCACTTAGATGGGAAACAAAACAGCTGCCAAATGATGCTAGCAGTTGGAAATTCTTACCAGGGTACGCAGTGTTGCCTGTCGAACTGCAGATCAGTCTGTACATTGTGCAGTGTGCTCTGTGCATTTGTGCCCGAGTTTAGGTCTCAGCGAGGAGCTTGTGAAAACTGAGTCTTAACCGTATGTGCTAAGGTCCACAGTGCAGCGTGGTCTGCGTTGAGCTCAGTTAGGTGATTAGCTAATGACCCATCTTTATCTGCTGCTTCATCTCGTGTAAACGCCGGCTCTCTGTTGCACTGTCCTGAGCAGTGGAAGCCCTGTCCCGTTGATTCTCACGGTCTTGTTGCTGCTTCTATAGAGCACAGGGAGAGGAGCAGAAAAAAAACCCAAAAACCCAGAAGTAGCAACCTGGTGCCATTTACATCTATATGCGGTAAAGAAGAAAAAGTGTGTGTTTACTGATACCTTATATTTGAGGTGTTTTAGGGCCTCCATTGTTTGTTTTACAATATACAACAATAACAATCTTCTTAGCAGCCAGAAGAAACTAAGAATCTGCTTTATTAAGCCACTTGATACAGCAAAACGTTTAGACACAAGCGTATTTTTTGACTCCTGCTGTATTCAAAAAAAAAAAAAATCCTAGAATTAGCACTAATTCTCAAGCCCTAATTGAATTTTGAATTGTGTAGAGCCACAAAATCGTTTTTGTTAATCCCTGATTAGTTTCGCATACTGGGTCAAAGGTGGGATGAGAAGACCTTCTCAGAGGTTGTGACACTTAACATCACTACAAGAGAAGACAACCCAGAGGTCTGCCTAGAACTCGACTCCGGCACTAACTATCTGGTGAATGTTACCACCATCTCTTCTGCAAACGTCACCGTCTCAGGTACAGTAGCAGTTCAGACAAAAGGTGAGTTGTGTTTTGTATTCACTGTGACATGTAGAAGATGTTACTCTGGTTCATTGTTCGGAGTTTAGCAGACAGCATAACAGGCTGTTTCCAAGACTATCCCACCTATTTTTCTCACTTCTCAAATAAAACCACCATCACCATCCTTCCTTTTCTGTAAGAAAAGATGTTTTTCTTCCTGCTCGCCATAGATGACAAGTCTGTGAGCGAACTTAGAGCTGTGGTGGCAGTTGGCCTTCGGAAAGACTTGGTGTGTTCATTTTGCAGGTGTTGTCTTTTAGTCAAGGCAGGGTTGGTGCGGTGACACTCCTGGCCAGATGCAGGAGCTGCATTTGTGGCACAGTGCTTGATGTTTTCCGTGCCTTGCCGTGGTGGTTGGTTCTCTGCCCATGGGACTGTTGTCTGTTGCTGAGCTGTGCATGTGAGCATTGCAGATAACGTCCCTCTTCAGCAGGGATGAACAGTGTTTTAGAGCTTTTCTGCAGTTGCAGAGAAAGGTCATGCCTTCTCTCTGAGTTGGATTTTCTAACATTTTAATCATGGATCCTTTAAGTTTGCTTCTGGCAAATTAATTCTAATGAGACAAGCCTGGGGAAATAATTGCCTGTGGAATCTCAAAAAACATATATTTTTAAGTGTATTTATCCTCGAATGAATCTGCTGCTACAAGTGGTTCTGCAATAAATTTATTCCCATCAGGAGGGCTGAACTTTTAGATCTTCCTGTCCTTACATCCCTAAGTCTGGGACAAATAAATCCTTTCTTGATTTCCCAAACAGCAAAGCCATTCTTGGGGGGAAAACTGTTTATGCTTTATCTACTGTAATGGTGTGCTCAGAACAGAATGAGATTCTACCTCCTACTCGGAAGAGAATGAAAATATATATATATTTTTGAGCTACTTACATTCAATTACGTTAAAGAAGGCGGGGTTTTATTGTAGTGAGTTGTTCAATTTTTTATTGTCTCCGCAGTAAAGGAAGCTTTCAACAATGTATTAATTTTTAATGACACCTGCTTGAAATGGCAGAGAAATGTCAGGGGAGCTGCTATAGAAGACAGATATTCAGTAAGTGATAATACATGTTTTGAATCTGTGACTTTTTTGCCTTTCTATTTCAATCATGTATGTGAGCAAACCTGTTTTCCTCTATGTTCCTCATGCTAATAACATCTTTCATAAAAAAAAAAAAATGGAGTAAGCTCGCATGGCAATATTTGAAAAAGAAATACATCACCATGATCCTTTTCTAGTCTCTGCCTCTTGGGCACTTTTCCTCTGTCCTACTCTAAATGTCTTTTGCCTTCATTGTCTGTACCTTCAGCTGGCTTATTCCCAGTGCCAAAAAAGCCTCTTCCAATTCCATAAAGTGAGTCTGTCCTGTGGCAAGGCTTCCGTCTGCTCTATCCCGTCTGCTCTATCCTGGTAGGACATTTGTGCACAAGATCTCTCTGCCAGAAGGCCGAGAGACCTCCCTGTGCTTGGAGGTGCTCAGGGTTATATAAAGACATGGGGTCCACGTAAAAGAAACAACAGCATGTGATTTTAATATAGCAAGTATTTTAGTTTTTATTAATGAGAAAATGACCAGAAGAGCTCTTAATGTTAAATAAATAACTCTGTGTAGTGTAGGACATGAACAGTAAAATAATTGCACACAAATCCAAACAAAACAAAAAAAACACGTCTCTAATTTTGCATAGAACCATAGCTTTCTGTAGACAGATTCTGGGAGATTCTTGGCATTCAGAACACATTTTGACATAGCTTGAAATTTCTTGATTTTTACTGAAATGAAATACCTTGATTTGACCTTCAGGGCCAAGCCACAAAAGTTTGCATGTGAGTTCACCTTTATGTCTCATTACTTTGCACAGTGAGGACACACTGTGCTGAACATGTTTATTGGCGTGCAAGCAAGACTCATGGGAGTTATGTTCCTCATAGAAAAGAGAATAGACTAGGAGGAGGAGAAGCAGGGAATTAGAGCAATGTCAGAACTGATAAGCAAGAGGGGCTGCACTTCATGTCGAATTTAGGAAATATTTGAATTAGAATAGTAATGCTTGATGTTCTGTATACTATGATGTGTGGTTCTTCTATTCATTCTCATTTACTATATGGCATAAATGAATGCAAGTGGTGTATTAAAACATGGCAGTTTCCATGCAGTGATTATTTTTTTTTGTTACAGTTTCATGTGCAAGGCCAGCGTTGGTATCAGAAGGAGTTTTTTCATGAAATGACTTTCAGCCTTACCACGTACAAGCGGGCTCCAGAAGTTTGTTTTGATTTGCAGCCAGGCACAAATTACTCTGTTAATATTTCCATAGTAGCTTTGAATTTTTCACTGCTGGTTTCCATGACAACACAGATTGCAGGTAGGTCCTGCCATTTATTTTATGTATTTACAAAAGGACCCGTTGAGTGCAAGAAATCAAGATGAAAAAGCATTGCTGATCTCTATGTTGTAATGCTCTCTCTCAAAAAAAGCTCATTCCTTGCTCTTTTCATTGTTCATTTTTAGAGGTTTCGTACTGTTATCAACCCTCCGCTTAGAGCTGGAGAGGAAACGCGAGGGGCACAGTGTGTTCAGTATGTTTCAAAATGTCATTCTGGCACAGTGAGGAAAAGATAGATGTTGGGAAAGACATGAGGTTGGTGTGAGAGCTGGGTTTGGTTCCCTGCACTGCTAGGGAATGAGTTACTTACATTCTTAGTATCGATTGTGTCTGCTGTGGAGATCATAATGCTTCATGTGAGTATTGAGGACAAAAGATATCACCAAAGTCAGTGAGGAGCTGCCAGACAGATCCTTATAAGTAAGTACCTCAGGCAGTACCCTCACCCGCTGGCAGAGTGCAAAATATTAAAGGCATTTTAGCAAAAACGTCACACTAAGGAGACTGAGTATTTCGCAAGATATTTTCACTGCACCAAAATGCTGTGATAAAGATTGTCTGTCATCTTTAACTCAGTTTTGTTTGGAACAGTTTTGCGCTGTTCCTGTGTTGCTGTGCTTTCTGCATTATTTTATTATTGCAAGATGGAGTGTGGGCTTTGCTGCCTGTATCAATTCTCCAGGTTTTTGTTAGCAAGCATTTGGAATAGGTAAGAAACCTTCCCAACCCTCCGAGTGCGTGTTACGATGTTCAGGCACTAGGTGGAACCAATCGACTTCTGACTGCTCGTGAAGAGCTGGGGATTAGAATTTGTGATGCTTCTAAGCATTAGTAATACAGAAGTTTTAATAAAGCAGAGGTTTTAAGCCTCATGAAAGCCAGAATATCTCTTTTTTGTTTTCTCGTGGTGTGTTTAGGATACACAAAGAACTGGATTGTTTTTTATCCGGTTAGAGTAGTGATTTCATAATTCATTCTCAGAAATTTCCTAGCAGTCACTTGAAAGTACTGCCACGCTCATGAGCCTTGTAAAACTAACAAACTGACCAGAACTTGTTTGATGGAGGTGATTTTGTACTCAGAGTAACCTGTGTACCCCTGTACCCTGTCATCTTGTCAAACACCCTAGACCTGCAGGATTGCACAGGATCACCTGCTCGGAAGGCCTCTGGACAGGGGCTTTGCAGCAGGTATGTGTGAAGTGGTGCTGGTGACATGGCAGCTGGCATGTTTCCTGCTCAGCTAAGTTACTGCTTAATAAATACACGTGCGTGGTGCCAGGAAAGGTCTTGGCCTAAAAATTAGGTCATTTCTATTTTGAAAGAAGCAACTGCTATACCAATCATTTTACTTCTGGTATAAATGACAATATTCATGTTATCATAGTTTTATAGCTCTTGCTTCAATGTTATAAAATTATTGACAACATTATGAAACTATGTGCACACTCCTTTCAATGAGCAGTAGAAAGTATGTATTGCTATACCACTACGAATCTTCCTCTTGTGACACTTGTGACACATACACTCCTTATTATGCTTTCTTAATGACAGCCAAAAATGAAAAAGTATGTTTTTTTGTGATATTAACATTTTCTAGCTATTTCAGCTGTTCTAATATGAAAAGGGGAATATTTAAATAATACTTGGCAATGTCTGGCAATGTCCATTTGACTTTTGTTCCTTCTGTTTGGTAAATTGCATTAATTTATATAATAACTATTTTAATTTTAGAATGAGTCTGTAATTTCCTTCTACTCTTCCATTTATTTTGCAATAAATAATACTTTAAACCAGATGGGTGTGTTTCAGTGGTGGGTGGAATGACCTCAATTTGTCTTCCATCTTAAGTCTGAAAAGTAGCTTCTCATTTTGGTGATTTTCTTGCTAAGAGGTGTTGTATAAATGCAAGATATGCTGAAAGCTTAATGGCTTCGAGGAAGCTGAGACTGACAGAGGTGTTGTGCTGCTAATTTACTTGAAGTAGCATTTATTGTGTAAAATATCATGTGGCATTTCTTCACAAATGCACGTTTAGTCAGTCTGTTTCCCCAGTTGGGAGTTAATCCATATTCTGTAAAGTGTCAAAACCCCTTGACTTTAGCGTACCCCTCACAACAGTCTTAAGTATGGAGTTTCAAATGCTATGAAGAGACACGTCCCAGATGGTTGAATGGATGCTACCAAATGGACCTAATTTCCTAACAGGGTTGGCCATCTGTGCAAACTTTTAAGAATGCTCCACAATGCAGTAAACTACATGCAAGTGCTAGTGAAAGTCTTACTTCTCAAAGCAAGTTTTGTAAATGCTACTCCCAGATTTAATATCCTGAATAGGAGGACTCATATGCCCACGGCGTTTATGAAGGAAAAGCCCAAGAGCTGGGACCCAGGAGCTTGCTTCTCTCCTGGCAAGTAACATCCTTTAAGAATAGTTCTGTGCTCAGCATGTAGTTGTTTTTGCCCATCATCTTGTGAATAGTAAATATAGTCTACCAAATGCTTTGTGCATCATTGAAGTTCTGTTCCTTTCATATTTCCAATAACAGACTTCTCACACAACCTTTTTTGTCTTCTTAGCTTATTTTAGACAAGCTCTCTGCACCTGTCTACTCAAGATAGGAAATTGAGTCAATTAGGAAACATAGTCAGGCAGTGATTATACTGTAGATATAAAAAGATGATAGCAAGATTGTCTTTTAAGCAGGAATAGAGTCTGTGTCTATTTCCAAGGGGAAGGAGAGTGTCTCTTGGGTGTACTTTCTCATTCATTATTTCCAGTTATATGTCGCTCTGCCGTTCTTTCCTTTTGTAGGAATTCATGAAAGTATCCTCAGACAACTTTTTACTGTTAATTTCATTACCTGTTTTTATGTATAAATTTAAGAAGACTGAGCTTTATAACCACTGTCAAGTGTTCGAAAAACAAAACTGCTAGAGAAAGAATGATCTTAAATAAAGTTAGTGATATAGTAAATAAATAAATAGAGTGATGCCAAACTGTACAGAATAGGCACACTTGCAAGTTCTGGTGACAAACTAGCAAGGTTTCTAAAACAAGTCTTTCTCATGTAATTCAGATTCCTCATTCAGAATTCTGACTGGTATTTTGAAGTCTCAGTCTGTCATCTCACTTATTCCTGTTTGTTGCTATATATCGTGTGCTATTGCTCCAGTTACAGAACTAACATGTTCCCTTCTTAAGAAATGTAGCCATGCCGATAACCTGCTTCCTTTACCTCATTTATCAGAAAACATTCAGCACCATAAAGCGTAAATAGGGTAAAAACTCATTACTTAAAGGAGGTAGGATATTCTTTCAAATGGCATTCCCACATGAATGTTGTGAAGAAAAGGACGCAGTTAAAGCTGGGTGTTTAGTGGAATAATAGACAAAATGTGCAGAACTGAGACACGCTCTGTAAAACAGAAGGGGGGAGCTCTTGGTACCAGCATCATGAAACAGTCCACACAGAACCGCAGAAGTGTGGAGGGACGTGTTAGGATCAGCATGTTTGTTTTCCTTTCTAATCCCAGCGCCCTGAAATCCACATTTCATTTTCTGCCTCTCAGTTCAGAAACCAGACAAAATCCTTAATCATCATTTTTCATTCTGTTTCTTTGGATAATATTTTTTCCATCACGTGCAGTTCTACAAGACTTGCTTTAGAAGATCTTGCTGAGCGACCGGCACGTTTTCAGTGCAACTCTGTAAAAGGTATTTTCAAGGACCTTTGCCAGGATTGTGAAATGTAGAAAAGAAATCAGACTTTCAGGCTGTATTTTAATGCGTGGATATGTATGTGTTATCTCCTGCCATCTTTCCACTCCTTCATTTTATCTTCACAGATTAGGGCTTTTATCTCAGCTTGGCTTCCTTGCAACAGGGGAGTCATGGATTGGAAGAGAGTTAATGCATGTGTTTTCACTTCAATATCCTTAAATTTCTATGCTTACCTTTCACACATATTGCCATTTCTTACCTATTCTGACCAGCACAGAGCCTGGAAAGTGGTTTGAGTTACAGAAGTGAGTTTCATTGCATAGTAAGTACAGTTCTTTAAAGTCCTTTTCCTGCACTGCAGGACAGATCAGGTAGTGAAATCGGACCTGTGTTTGTGGCCTGTGTTCATGTATACAAAACAAAAGATCCATTATTGTTCTGCTAAAACATATGATGGAAAAAAATTACAGTCATCCTTTGATAAAGCGAGCTCTTTAAGGTCTGGAAAAGGAGAAGGAAAAGCAAATTACTTTCCAATGAGGAACTGAAAGCCTGGGCTATCTGGCGATAAAACAGTTCTACTGCAACAGCACTTCATATATTCCAACAGAGTCAATCCATTACAGTGTGCAACTTCAGCACAGAGAAGCAAATTTCTGGGAAAGGGGCATGATTAAAACTTGTGCATGAAATTGTTTGTATGCATGGAAGAAATAAAATGCCGATCCTGTAAACATTTCCATACAAACATTCATACATGCACTTTGCATTTATGCAAATCTGTTTAAATGCATTATACTTAAGTTCATTAAGTTTTTCAGTTATTTTTCTGACTTCTGTAATGACATTTTTTTTTTCATAAATATCTGAAACATCATGCTCATTCCAATCACCTCTGTCCTTCTGTTTACAAAGCTCTTGATGTAAGTGATTCAGGTAATTCTATACAGCCACTGCTTTATGTGTTGGCTAGAATTCTGGTAGTTAAATAATACCAATAAAAAAAATCTGCTGTTTTAGCACTTCTAGATGACTCTTGTATATTTTACATGAATGCTTTTGACTTCCTTGTTTTAAGATTCAGTAAAAAAATGCTGTGATGTAAAGTCTTCACTTAGGGCTGTTTCATTGAAAAAAGAAAGCAAAACAAAGTAGATAAAAAAAACACTTGTTTGCAAGAAATTAAGATCATGGTGGTGGCATTATTTCAGCAAAGAGTTGTTCTTGCTTATTGTTTGGCTTTAGGAGTAATCCTTGATTTGACTTCCCAGAACTTGCAAAGAGTTACCATCTATTTTGGGACTTCATGACTTATTTCCCTAACTACTTTTAAAGCTTTATCATCGGCACAAAATTACAAAGGGAAGCATTAAATAGGGCTACCTTGGAGCAAAGCATAGGGCATCTACTAAGGTACACGTCATTCAGTTTAGCAGATTTTATCTATGTGTAACCATATAGGGAGAGAAATAGAGATGTATACATTCATTTTTGACTCAAACATGTATAGGAAACTTTACAGTCTTTCTTGCCTGCTTTATGTATTTTAAGGTAAATGAATAACACAGTATTGTTCCAGAGTCTTCAGAGTCATGAGTAAGGTCAGATGACAGGAAAGCATTAAATATTTTGTTGTTTCTAGTAGGGAATGTCATGAAAGTGCTGATATTCCCCATATTGTGGCAGTTCGCCTGTGCAGTGCTTGGACAGCAGTAATAAACAGCATCTGCAAAAATCGGGTCTGTAAAACAAGGAGTGAAAAATACATTTCCAGGATTAGAGAAAAAAAACTTTTCCTTTATGAAGTGTTTTCATAAGAACAACTGCTTCCCATGTGCTAGACTTTTCAGAGGAGAAAGATTGCAGTAGAACAGCAGACAGGTTTTTGGTCCAAAATGTTCCTGTGCTGTTTTCCCGTGTTTTTTGCAATAGCAGGCACTTCCTGGCATGCGCTGCTTTCCTGTATCCTGGCCTTATGTTCTGCAGGAGACTTAGCGTGTGTGGTTTCTTGTTGTAGAAAATGAGCCTCCCAATGAAGTGTCCAGGTTGTCACAACCTAGTGCCGCTGTGCTGAGGAGTGCTGAGAGTGGAATTAGCTCAGTGTGGGTGTTTTTTTTGATGCATGTCTTTAAATTTGGACATTCTGAGAACCTAATAGCAGGTTTTTTTAAAAAAAACAAGTAGCCTGTTGCCATATGTTGCATATGGAAGAACTCCTTCAGAGGGCCTGATTCTTGAAGCAAAAATACAGTCCTTTCATTTATTATTATTATTATTATTACAGATTGTTGTGATTTGTTTACTCTTATTAAAACAGGCAGGGAATTTTACATGTGCTTAATGTTTTTAAATATTTGTATTTCTTATCAGCAATTAAAAATGGTGAAAGACTCCAATCTTGAAAAGCAGTGTGCTTTGCGGATTTTGCTTCCTTCAGCTTACTTATTAGGACTGACAGTGCGGATTGCTTTCATTTTCTGCATCATTTCTGTCAAATTTTGCAAACAAAAATCTATGTTACCAACAGTCCTTTCGCCTCTTATATCCTCTTGCACTGCTAGCTTGAAAAATATGCAAAGCCATTGAATTCTTTACACATTCTGGTTGAGATTTGAGAAGAAATTCCTAAGCTTTCCTTGGGAATTGGAAGCCTCCCAAGGGAAACAAAGCATCTCCTGGTGGTACTGGATGCTGAAAGAAACAAAGATGTGAGAGAGGTACCACTTAAATCTATCCTGGTGGAATGTATTTTCCTATCTGGATGCCCACTGGCAAAGCCTGTGCTGAGGAACCTTGAAGTTAGGGGATATTTTCATGTCTTAAGTTACATTTGCTTAATTTGAAGGGTGCAAAAGGTGAAAAGATTGGCTGTCACATATTGTTCAAGCTAACCACATTAGTTAGAAATATTGCCTATAAATATTAAGGTATTTGTATTTCTAAAAAGACTGAGGAGACCTTCTTTGAGTAAAGACTGTTTCCTATTCTCGCTGGCAGCCACACTGAACGCTTCTGATAGTTAGACTATCAGAATTCATTTGGCTCAGTAAGCTTTGAAGAGGTTCTGCTAAGGATGATTGCTACTGCAGGCAAGGTAGAGTCTGTTTTCCTTTGGTTGTGTATATATGACCTGTTATCTTTATACTGCACGTGCTGTGCTTAAGTTGTTCCTTTTCCTCAGTGGTGTATGTACTCAAATTTATTTTAAGCTGAGGTCATGTGGGCTCTCAGGTTTCGTTTTGGCAAAGACAAGCCTTGGGTTCCTTCTCTGGATCTTTCTTGTGGTCATGCCATGTACTGGGTTGGTTGGACTTTGTTGGGAGTTCAGGCAGTTGTGAAACAGTTGTGCCCAGAATTTCTGTAATTGTGTTGGTACTGTTCCATTACTGAAATCTCTTTGTTAGGCCTTTTAGAATTGCTTTTCCTTTATACCTGTTGCTACTTTGGTGATTGACATTCACTACTATATTCCTCTTAATACCCACTACCCTTACCACTTTCTACTGCTGAATTTCATCCCGTTTTTCCCAGAACAGTGCCTGTCGTGGTGATTCAAGTTCTTTATGTAACATCTCCATAGAGCTTGACACTGAGCAGTGAAATTCATCTGCACACACCTGGAATTTCTGCCATGATCATTAGAACTGATCTTAGCACTGATTTTGTTTAATCTTGGAGGAACATCTCTAATAACCTTCCTGCAGCCGGTATTTCTACTTCCAACATGTTATATATTGCTAGCTCTCCGTTTACCAGCACGTTAGCCACTTTGCTGTTTTTCTACCAATGCTGATGATGTTCCACTACTGCACAAATGATTTTCTATATGGCAGCACGTAATTCAGCTACTCAGTTTCTACCATTTGAAAAATCCATGCATCTCAGCAAGGATTTGCCTGGTGTGGTGTTGGCAAATCTGCATTACTTTTTTTATTTTCTTTTCGTGACTTTGGTTATTCTTTCTAACACTGTTCTGAAACCTTCATTTCCAACACATGAGCACTGCATTGAGTGCTATGTAGTCACATATTCGGACAGCAGCTTGGTAGGCCAATTTCTAGCCTCGTTCTACCTGTAAATAGTTGTGCTAGTTCTTTCAGGCTTGTGGGACAGCAGCTTCCTTCTCAGCTGGGCACTCCGGAGCTCTTCCAGTTTTACTTCAAGGCTGGTGGTGTTAATTTTCTATTACCATAGCACCCATAGTCAATGTGTTGCTGTTAAATTGGGGGCAAAAGGTTTTGCATGTTTTTCGTCCTGAACACATTTTACCGCTGTTCCTCTCCTCTCCTCTCCTCTCCTCCTCTTCTCCTTTTTTTAAAATCAGGTTCCCTACATTAAATACAGACTTGAGCCTTTGGGATTTGAGGTTCTGCTAATAGAGGATGTTTTGGGATGGTGGGGGGGAGTTAGGAACTTTCTTCAAGTAGTTCTAAAGCCTCTCTGAAATTGCCATATTTTTTTATCTTTTAGATCCTCCGTTCCCAGATGTAGAGTTTGTTGCAGTAAAAGGTTCTGTGCCCTTGCTCCGACTCCGGAAAGCAGATGATCGGAACGGCCCGATCAGGTTTGTCTCTGCACATTCTTCGCCCTTTCAAAAAACATTATTCAGATTTATGTTATTTATATGTAGGAGCTTTTTGTTTGGGTTAGGTTATTTTTTTATTAGCAGTGGGATAAAACTGCGCTGTGACTCACCGTTTTGCCTCCCTTAGCAGGATAGTATTTGGCTATAGACTCTTCCCCACTTTCTGGACCAAAATTCTGTCCATAATCAGTCTGAGGTTTTGCCGATTTTTTCCTTTAGCCGCAGTGAATTCACACTAGACTCTTATTAATGTGTCCAAGAGCAGTTCTACCCCAGTAATTTTTGTTTTCCAATGAATTTGGGCATCCAATAGAATTACTTTTATAGAAGACAGAGGAAATTAATAACAAAGCCTGTTTTTCTTTCTGCATATTCTAAATTTCTATTTCTGCATATTCATATTATTGCATTACTGCCAAGATGTATTTTTTTGGGAAGAGACAACATTTACATCATAGTAAGTACTTCTTGTGAAAGGAGGGAAATGGTGATTGCAACTCACTAAAGCAGAAATACTTAAAAGCTAGTAATATACGAGCAAATTGCTGATATAAAAACTCTGAGAATTACTCTTCTGTGGTAGAGCATCTTAGGCTAAACTTCATCTTGAGAGGTTTGAGGAGAAATTTAATGATTTTTTAGAAAGTGGATCCTCTCCTTTGAACTTGCTGCTGGGAAATTCTGAGCAATTGTTTTTGGAGGCCTGTTCTGCTTTGTCAATGACCCTATACCCCAGGTGAGAGCAGTAGGCATCCAACAGAAATTGAGTTAACATGCAGTAACATTTAAAATTAATATGCATGTGTTAAGTGGAACCACTCTAAATTGTGCCTGCCTTACTCTTTGTACAAAATATTGTTGAATACACTCTGAGAGAAATATTCTTCTATAAGAAAAGGTCGTATTGGACATTGATGGTTAAAAACAGCTAAGGAAAAAGGAAAAGGCTAAGGGAAAAAAAAAGAAAGTGGAAATGTAATGAAAGTCTGATGCTTAGGACATTGAACTGAGGGCTAAAGTTACTTTTTTGTTTTACTCCAGTTTTTATCAAGTGATTGTGGTTCCCCTGGGTTTGCAGAACACTTTTATTTGCGATTCGTTTGCTGCTGCAACTTTCTTCAGCAACACCACTGACACCGAGGGATACGTGGCAGCTGAATTCCAAGCCAAAGATGTTGCTGATAACATGTCAGTCACTCTTGGAGACAGACATTACTACGGGAAGTTTTATAATGCTCCTTTAAAGTTGGGAAAAGAGTATTCTGTTTTTTTGAGAATAATAAGCGAGTGGAATAAGGTAATGGATATTTTTAAAATTTTCTTTTATACCCGTGGAAAGAAATGTAACTGTGGAAAGGGAAGAATTTTAGCGCTGTGTTAAATTTTTATGATGTTGAAAATATCTGTAAATTGACAGAATGAGAATAAATCTGAAGCATCTTTAAATAACTATTATATTATATTCAGGTCATTGTAATGTTGAAGTAATTCTGGTTGCCAAAAGGCAAACAATGGAAAGAATTAAAGATGAAGGGTCATCTCTTCCCTCATTAATTGAAGATATATCTTTAAACCAGAACCTAGTGAAGGAGATTTGTACTGAAAAATCTGAAATTACTACCAATCAGTGAAGAATTCTCTCATTTTTGAGTTTAATGTTCTGGAGCCAAGTATTGTACTTCTCCAAGTAACCAAGTAAATACGTATTTTATCATGTGTGTTACATTTCAAGTAGCAATGAATGTTAACTGCGCTTCACTTGGAGAAGGCTGGCTGGAAGACATATTATTAGCATAAATTATTGGCATTTTAAATTCAATATTTATTTTAATCAGATACAAAACTTCTAAAATGTACGTTTCTCTCAGCTGTTCAGTACTCAGCGTGTTTCCTTGCAGGATGTCATTATGCCACTAGTTTTCCATCATTATCCATCTCACTGGTCTACAGTGGATGTGTTATGGATAATAGAGGTTTCAGCAACATTTAGTTTTTCCTAACTGAGTCAGGTGACTGTGTTTTCAGGGTTGTATTTGTCCTGAATATCCAATGTAAGAAAAACAAAACAAAAGACCACTCAAACAGTGCGTCCTGCAAAGAAAACAAGATGGTTTGGGTTGGAGGTGTTGTGTGTAAGCACAAAGCAATGTGGCAGAGCAAATACTCATCTATGGGCCGCTTTCAGTTCTCTGTAGATTTGGAAGCCCATACCCAAACTTCAGTAAGTGAAAACAGCTTCTAATAAGAAACATCGTTCTGCCTCACACCAAAATAAATGAAACAGATCAAATAAATATACATCATTTCTACACTGGTATCTATTAATATGTGTGCATCATACTTTTAAGTTTTTAGTGGAACAGATAAGATGGTTCCTGATCCTGATATAAACCTGTCATCTGTCACTAATTTCAGGTTAATACTCTGAAAGATTCAGCAAAAAAAAGGCGATGAAGGGCACTCAACTCCTAAATAGTCTTGTTATCCCAAAATAACCTGGAATTTGGAATTAGGCCTATGCATTTTTCAGCAGAATTGGCTCTGTGGAGCAGGATTATTGCATGAGCCAAATATAAAACAAGTTTACCCTCGTTAAGCTTTCCTGAGTACTTCTTTCAGTTTGGTTTGCGTTTCCTGAGATTTTACACATTGGTTTCCCTAGCTCTTTTTTTTCAGCATTTTATAATAGGAGGAAACATTTTACTTTGTTATTTGTCTTGAGAGTCTTCTAGCACTGAACAGTACAGATTGCATATGCATCTCTTCAGATGCTTGTTAAGTTTTGGCTAAGTTGTATTTTCCTACTCTTTCATGAAGATAATTGCTCAAAGTTTCCAGGTATATTTTCTAGGCCAGCCACTGATTTAATGGAATATAGGTTACTTATAAAAGTGACAGTTCTCTTCCTTCTATTTAGAATGCAACAAGTCCTTAATATACACCTTCCCTTATGTTTTTGTTACTAGAAGAAGCAGACGAAGTTGCATAACATTACACAAAAATAGTGAATTTGCAAAGACCAGACACCTCTGACTCTTCATTTTCTTTCTCTGAAATGAGATTTAAATCTATGGCACAAACCTGCTGGTTTATCTTCAGTTCGTTTGATGGCATATTTTGTGCAAGTGTTACTATTAAGAAATTCCAAAAATTGAGAATTCTAAATTGAGGATTGTTGGGTCTTCAGAGTTTCTGACACTCTGGTTACTCAAGTAACTGAATTTTTATTTGAGAACAACTATATCAACGTCTGTTTTTTTAATTGCTTTTTAAATTGTCCTGAAAGTGAATGGTGAGAATTAAGAAGTATAGCAACAGTTTAAACTGATTTGAGATCAATTTGTTTGGCACAACTTTGTACTACTTCACTGTTGGCATCAGTTTTTCTGGTGCAAACACCATATGCATATAACAGAAGTGTCTGTGAATACTTGAGGTCTATGAAAAGTGGTGATAATTTTAGTAATTTATTCTGCTTTATTTTTTGGTGACATTTTGTATTTTTAGTAAATAAGCTAAGAACTTGGTAGAAAATTAGTCATGTACAAAGGGTACTTGAATATTTGCAGGAATAATCTGACCGAAAGCTTTCTGAGAAGGCATGGGGGTTTGCATGTGTTACCAGCTGGTAATTCATCAAAGGAAGGGTGTTATAAATTTGGTATCAAGTGCAGGTCAGTGTATTTTGTTTTTGAGATTCCTGGGAAGTCTATTAACTTGTTTTCTAGGTAGGGGAATACTGACTTACTGCAAACCAGAGTGTGCCAAGGAGGTAGCTGTTCCAAAATGATGGCACTTAAACAGTTTTCTACTAGGTTGTGGGTTTTGCCAGAATTTTTAAACCCACTCTTTATTCTTTTTTCTTGCTATCTTAGTAGACATTCCTTTTCAGTGCTTTGTGTTTTTAAATAACTAGAAAATTTAATATGAAAGCCTGTTTTTAGAAACACTGAGGTTTCAGGATTAGGCATGCAGGCACACAAAGGGAAGAATAAGCATACAAATGCTGTCTTGTTCTGTTGCACAAATGCTTCATACCCTAAGTCTCTGATTTCATGAAAATACGCCATTACCCTGAGCAACATAATATATTTTGCCAGAAGTCTTCATGAGCAATGCATTGCATGTATTGAGAGAAAGTCTGTGAAAGTCATTTAGCAGGAAAATCTATATAGAAGCACCCTGAAAATAAACTTCCCAGTAATTAAACAGGAGACAATAGAATTTAAAATAGAACAGGCACACGCATGTGTTTTTATGTTTTATGAGACAAAAGGGGAGAAAGGTTATACAGATGCCAAGACTTGTGGAAAAACAAACCTGTTAAAACAGTTTAAAAGAAGAATTTTGGTGAAGATTTCTTTAGATGCTGTGAACATGAACTTCTGCAAGTATTGTATAAAAATCCTTTAAAATTAAGAGGTACTAAGCATGCAGTCATAACCACAAAAATACTGTAATGTAGTATATGAAAACCATGTAATTATCTACTGTGTTTTAGCACATATATGCTACACAAGAACACAGTACATTCAGCCTTAGCATTTCATAATTACTAATTTTTTGACCATACAACTTCAAAGATCCTTTTGTGCCACTTACTTACATGCATAGGTAATAGAAAGAGAGGAAGAAAAGAGTAGAGCTATACTTCTGTCAAAACCATTATCTTTACAGTTTATAATCATTTCAGAAAAGCTAGGAGCTGTTACTGGAAGTAGAGAGGCAAGAACCACTCTCAATAATAACAAAATTAAATGTTTGGCAGCTGCCTGCTTGGTGAGGTTGTAAATGACAGTAATTTTTTTTCTATTCTGAACCTGATTTTTTAAAAAATATATTTTCATTTTCAGGTGAGAACACAGTCCTGTGCTGTTTGGGCACAAATTAAAATTAAGTGCTGCTTTTTTTTTTTTTTTTTTTTTTTCAATGAGAAAGCAGTAGTCAAAGCTTGGGTTGGCAACATCTCAACATGAAATTAATAATTGCTGTGGCTATTCTTTCATTCACTATTAGTAGCTGGTTCGCTTTCAGGATTGTAAAGTAGAAATTTTGCTGTGCACTTCAGTATTTAGAGGAGAAACATTTGGACATCACATTTACAGCACTGGTTTTGTGACTAAGATTTGAAACATGAGAGATAAATGTAGTTTTCAAAGCTTGCTTTGAAAAATGCAGAAAAATAGAAAAAAAAATCCTTTCTTCTGTATTAGGAGGAACTATCTTTACCTATTTCATCATATTACAGGAAAAGGCAAACATTAGCCTCTCCTAACAAAAAAAGTGGCCCCCTGAGAGTCCCCTCTAGAGTCTGTTTGGGGTCCAAAGACCAGATGTGGAAATGTGTTAGGAAATGTGGCACTAGGGAGTGAGATAATATTTTTGAAAGAGATGAAGATACTTTTGTATGTTTGCGGTGACTCTCCTCTGTTACTCAGAAAAAGCCGCACCTGACTGGCGCTATTGATCTGCCAGTGATAACTGTATGTTTATTTCTAGTTGCTTACTCACACAATTTGGTTGCTGCCCTGTTTAGAATATCATCTCAGCTGCTTGTTTTTATGAGAAATTCTGCTAAGCTCCAGTACATTTGAGGCCTGTTCTGCTGGTCCGAAGGGGCAAGAACTGTAAAATGGCGGTGGAAGGACAGAAAACTGCCCTCTTCTGAATTTCTCTTTTGCCAACTTGTAGAGCACTGAGAGAGATTGTGATACATATATGCTGTGAGAGATTGCCATATGTATGTTTTGGGGGTGAAAAGGCGAAAATATGGGCTTTGCCTTTGCTTGTGTGTTAGTATTGGAGAGACTTTTAAGCAGACGGTGTTCTTGGCTTGAAGAGACTTGTGCAGTTGGAGAGGCCAAGAGTATTTTTGGCTCACTGAATCCTTTAAGGAGTATTCCACTTAATTCCACTTGTGGAAGGACAGGTCTATAAATTAGGTCTCAAGCCAACTGCACTGTTTCGGATGCCTTTCAGACAGTGCTTCACATTGCTGGATAAATTGTTGCTGTATAAAGTCAGAGGCACAGTGTGCTTCCTTGTGTCATTAGAGGTTGCCTGAGAAGAATTGATTTGAGGGTTTTCCAGCAAACACGTTCTACAATGTGTGGGGAAGGCCTTTCTGTAGTTTCTAGGAGGACTGGCGCCTGTTCTAGACATCTTTAATTTGCATGCGGCAACTGTTCTAGTTTAGCTGTTTCCAAAACCTGGACATGCTTGGAAGTTAAACAGATTCTCTCATGAGGTCCTCAACTGATTTTTTTTTCTTTTGCAAGCTTTCCCGTGAGGTAGGGGAATGCAACATCGATACAAACCTTGCTACACTAGCAGAGTTGGGCAAACTTTTAAAGTTCTCCTATTTGCTTTATTATTATTATTGTCATATGTGTCTTTGTGCTTCAACCCAACTGTTGAAAGTGTTATGGGTAAATCCCAGCCTGCTTCTTATACCTGTGCCTTCACATGAGCCAAAAAAAAGGACATCCACTTATACAGCAGAGATCGCTCCCCCGGTGGTTCGGCATTTGGGTTCTCTTCATTGATGTGCACAGTAATTTCACTGAAAAAGGAATTTGCGTTTCTTTTTGCGATAACTTAAACTTCTGCTGAAGCATCAAGTACTTATATGTGCTAGAGTTAACAGGAAGCAAAGGTGTGCAATGTTGCAGGAATAAGATCCAGTGGCCCAGATGTCTGTGGGAAATCCAGAAAGAAAGGAGTAACTTTCCCTGCTGCTGAAAACATGAGGAAGGTAGAGGGATCAACTTTTTGTTTGTTCAGGCTCCCTTCACAGGTTCTTCTTAATAATTCTGGTGTTGTCCTCCTTAAATTAGTATAAACCTTCTGTTCAGAGCTAGGTGGCTTCTGGCATGGAGGTCTTGGGTAATACTGTTATGACTGGGTTTATTTATATATTTTTTGCTGAGGAGAAAAAGTGAATGGGAAAACAATACATGAATCGCAAAAATATTGAAAGAAAATCATTAAATTGTTTAGTTAGGATTTCCTGGCACCAGAGACCACCTTGACATGTGACTGGGGTGGAAATTGCCAGTGGGAAAGGGAGAAAATGTTGACACTGCATATCAGAAATTAAAAGGAAAAAATAAACAGGAAGGGTGAAGGATAGCAAAATGTAATCATTTCTGAGAAATACACCATTTAATCATGCTTGTTAGCTGGCTGCTGGCTACTGAATATTCAGATCATTATTGCCTGATGGAGCAGTCAGCCTAAACTGTGAGTTTTATTAGAATTATTTAGCTTGGAGCAGATTCAGCCAGTAAATCCCCAGACTGAAACTGGGCCGTTTGTTCACTTAAATAGTTTGATATTTTCCTTTCAGATTTATCGCCCGCTCCACAATACGTGACCGCCGTCGGATTAGGGTCGGTTGCTGCCATCTGCCTTATACTGTTCCTTTCTTTCTCAGCAGCACGGTATGTACAGTTCATTGTAGTTGTCCTGCTCAAAGCTTACTTGTTTGGCTTTTCAGTCTTTCTCTCAACTTTTAATCTTTCTCGCCAAAGAGCTTGATTAAGGTCTCCTAAGCGATTAGAAACTTCATTAATAGTCCATCAGGGAGCACCTTCTCTGGAATTTAGTCCATTGCATGAATTGGTGCCCCATGTATCTTTGAAGTCAAGCGGGGAGCATCTGAAAAATAAGGAACACACCTTAGTAAAGGAGGGATCCAGGAAGTGATTAGTGCCAGAAATTTAATTCAGAGATATTTTGATTTCATAGTGGCTAAATAAATGATGTTTATACAGCATGCTACCGTAAAAGTAAAGTCATGCCAAAGAAGTGGTGCTCTGCTTTTCTTATTTATGGAACAATCCCCAATCTTAACAACTTTATTCAAGACATCTAAAAATGCATTTTTTTCAAAAGTGGTTATCTTCAACAAAAGCCTACAATAAAGATGTGCTAGAAATCTTCAAGTAATTGATTGTTTTGTGTTTTGTGATCCTTTGTGTTTTATCTCCATGTAGGAACAATAATTTTATAACTTCCCTTTTTTTCAAAGGTAAAACAAATATATGTCTTTCAGTAATTGTTTACATTTATGTAAGTGTAAAATTTCCTAACCAAAAAACAAACAAAAAAAAACCCCACCTTGTCATTCATTTGAATATATTTGTCTCTGAAATGTATTTGTCTCAGAAAACTATTCTCCTGATTTATGTTCCTCATAATATCAGGAATGTACAGCCTGGGGGCCATGAAGAAGCATCAAGAGATGATCAGCTAAGCTGATTATTTGGCATTCAGAAAGAGAATGGCTTGCAGGATAAGCTTTTCCTTAAAAAGGCTAGTGGGATTGCTTGTGGTTTTCTGAAATTTAATTCAATTCTTACAGTGTAAATCCCCAAATAAAACCTCCACAGTTTCTTTCTCTAAGTAATTAATCAGAAAAGGGATTTCAGATTTTCTTTGGCAATAAGATACAGTCATGAGCTTGTGCTTGCAATCATGATGGTTGCTTTTACTTTTTGGCATAAGCTGCCAGAATCAGCTTTTGACACTCAAGACAGAGGGGGCAAAACTGTGCTAGTGTCTTAGCTGGCACATCCTGGCAGATGGTTCGCAGCAGAAGGCACATCGTTAGGACACTGTGGGCTGAAAAACTCCTCAGTTACCTCAGTTTCTGTTGCAAAAATGGGACAAAGGGATATTAATGTTCTTTAAAACTATGTCCAAGCAATTAGCGCCAGGGAGGGTGGAGAGCTATTTTAAGATAAAAGGCAATAAGAATGGAAGAAACTCATGTGAGTATGAGTCAGTCATGAATGAGTGCAGAGGAGTTAAGGTCCTGATCTTCCATCTCAGTTTTCCTTTTAAAAAAAGTGGGAGCAAAATCCTCAATTACTGTCCGTAGGGAGCTCAGTATATTTTGACAGGGATCATACACTTCTATCATGTAATATTATGGACTGGGGCTTGTTAACTCAGCAAATATCTTGTAAGCCTCTGTTCTCCTGTGTATAGGAACACCTAAATGCATTCCCCTGCTTTAGAGGGGTCAGACAGAATCCTTGGCAGAAATTAAATGTGGGAGCCAGGGGAAGGAAAATACATGTGCGAGACGACCGTTCTCAGTGCTCAGAAGAAATCCTGTCATGTTCATAAGTAACACAGTACTTGTTTATTTTAAAATAAGCAACATTTGGATCCATTTCTGAATGAAAATGTGATTTGAAAAACATATGAAGTCAACCTTGCCTCCTGTCCAGTTTTAAGACTATGGTCTAGTGTGGGCAGTGTACTCCAAGAAAGATGGGGCATGATGAGAGGGACAGACAGACAGACAGAAGACCTCAGCAAAAGAGACTAGAGATCTGTCTGATCCAACCTGCAGGTAGGGTAATTTGGAGCTGGTTATCCAGGAGAAGAGGAGACTGAGAAGGAATGTGATAACGCACAAATACACAAAAAGCAATTACAGAAAGACCAGCCTGTCTGGTGAACAACAGTATGAGTAGTATTGTTTCTAAATGAGACAGCACTAGAATAAATTGCTGTGAAACTGGCACGTGGGTGGTCTGTAGGAGCAGGTTAAGCAAACATCTGTCAGGAGCAAAACAGTTACAGCTAATCTTTCTGTGCAATCAGAATGGTCTCAGATTATTTCTGGAGGTCCCTTTAAGCCTTTTGCTTCTGTAGTTTCCATCACAAAGGAGCGCTGTGTTCGCATGCCTGCCAGCGTGCCTCCTCCTGCTGCCCCAAGGATTATGTTATCTCAGAGGACCAGGTTGTGAATTCCTGCTAGGAAACCCACTGACAGCAGCCCAAACTGTTCTCGGTGAATGCAAGTCTGGGTACACAAAGCACAGAGGCTTTGACTGCATCAGCCCCAGGTTTTTATCTTTTTCTTTTACAAAATGCATTAACACCAAGATGTTTTGTCACACATTCACGTTGCTTCGTTCCACCCAAACTGTCACTTCATTCTGTATGTGTTGTCCATCCAGATATAGAAGCACAGTGCCAAAACTATGGCACAGTGCCAAGTGTTGTCATGGCCAAGGTTCACCCAGGTCAGGTTACCTGCCAGTGATCTGACACTCTGAAGTACTCCCCACCTACATCACCAGCACCTCATGTGTTCCAAAACCCTTAGAAACTCTCCCATTTTTCCCATCAGCATGAATAATGTATGTCCTGTGTGTTTCGTGCTTTTGTCTTGAATGTTTTTGAAGTGTTCTTTTTTTGACTGGATTTTTTTCCCTTTCACCAGGTCCTTTCTGGACAGCACAGCCCGCTGCCCGCCTGCTGCTTTGGTCTGTGAAGCCGTGCATTTATCTGCTACCACAGACATGACACAAGCAGGGATCACATCATCCTTCCTAGAGAATGAAAATGTCTCTCCTCTCTAATGTTTTATCCCCCCGAGTCAGCACAGAGAAAATCCAGTCTCCTTACCAAAGTCAATGTACGTCAGATATAGGTGGACCTGTGCAGCGCAAATGTATTATAGCGTGAGCAACTGAAATGTATTTGTTACTAGCAGAAAGCTGTTTATGTCTCCCCTTGTTTCCAGGTGGTATGGGGTATAAAGGAGAACGTTTCCTGACAAACGGGTGTTTATCAGACATCAGCATCCTGTGTTTTGGCTACAGGCTTTAGCTCTTCTATCAAGGGTGACGGATAGGAGTACCTGTATTTACTTTATTGCATAAATAATCCCGTGATCCCCTTGATACTGTTTTATGATCAATTGCTATTTTAGATTCCTTCAGATATACAAAATTTCCCCCATTGTGGGGGAAAATACAACCTTTTTACATGAAAAATGCCTATTGTGTATCCAAGTAAAAAAGATAGGTAATTTTCATAATTCACTTAAGAGTAGTGCTACTTCAATAACAAGTATTGAATTGTTAGCCGTGAAAGTGTCATATTTAAATAGTGTCACCAACAGATGTGTTCCAGAGGTACTGCAATTGTTGCTGATAGTGATTAGCAATAATTATCAATAGCACACTTATCTGTAAAACTGCGGTGTGCCAAAAAGCTGAGGAGCTTTCTTGACTCACGAAACTATTTTAAATAAGGAGCTACCTGTCTTGCAGTTTTCTTAATCTGTGTTTTAAAATTAAAGCTGAGTAAAGCCATTAAAGTCACTGTTTGTTTAACAAGCTGGTGTGCAGCTTAGATTCAGGAATAAAGTGCCTGTGATTACTCGTGTTTCTGTTCAAACATTGCTTCAAGATTAAAATATTAGAAAAATCATTCTGATGAAATAAAGAGCATTTTTAGTCTTCTTTTTTCCAAGTGATGTGTTTTATTTCATCATTTTGGATATATGATATCCTTTGGGGAAATTTTAAGTATTTCTAATTTCTATTGACTTTTTAATTTCATATCTGCTTTCTCTCCAGGTGTGCAATTCCCTTTTTCTCCTGCTGCTTTTATCCTGGGAGAAGCTATAAGCAGCTGTTCCTAAATAAGTGAGAGCTGAAGGCACAGAAAATGATTTAAAGAGACATTTCTTCCTCTGAAAAACTACATGCACCTTTCCTAACACCTGCAGTTACCTTACATCAGGCAGGACCAGGAATATAAAGTCCCCCTTACCAGTGAATATGGCCGGAGAGCTGTGTTGTGCTTTATCTGTCATGTTCTTATCTTCCATCTATAACTGTTCAAGTGTAGTATGTGGGAAGCATGAGGACAAAATTATTTAGTCTTGTCCTCTTCGGATAATTCTGCAAATGTTCAGACTTCTGTTGTTCCTTTCGCAAATGTTGCTCAGTGGCTGCCAAGCTTTCCAATGCCTTTTTTTTCCTCTTTTTTTTTTTTTTTTTAGGAAAAAGAAAAAGGTTTAAATATCATGAAATCAAAAGAAAATATTAAAATAGAAGGAAGTTCTTAAAACTTTGCTCAGAGCAACTACTACTGGACTAAAGAACTACTACTGGACTAAAGAACCACATGAAGTTGCAATGGATATACTTTTGTTGGTTACAAAAGAGGCTTCTGCACTAGACTGAATCTCATTTAAGAACATGGCTAATGAGGGCCAGTTCCCTTGCGTGTCCATTAGGAGCAAATACGCCGTTATACTAGAAAGGGTATCATGCAAAGGTCACCTGTGTGATTTCTAATTAGTTAACTAGGCCTGCCAAAATATTTGGCTATGAGAGGGCAGTTCTAAATAGTTCCACTTGGAACAGGGCTTTGGAGTTAAGAATGTCTATGCAAAGTATTTTTATTTTTCAGATTTACAGTCTTTATTCACAAGTTAATGGAATGATATGGCAGCTCCGAATTTTACTGTATAGCGTCTTAACCGATCTATCTGTATCACTAACATGATGATGTCCTCATGTACCATACATTCCAGTGATTCCAGAAATGTTTCTAATGATCCTTCACTGTTCCTTCGATTAACGCTAAAACTATCTTCTCCGTGGCACTGCTCAGTTTTTTTGCTTTGCCGTTTAAAGCATATATTCCATTCCCAGCCCAAAAAAGGTCGGCTTAGTTGGCCAAGAGAAGCTGCCCTGATTTTATGGCTGATGTGCAGCAGTTCCTGGTGCTATGCTGAGGGAGTGCCGTATTGAGAAACTGTTTAGTTTAGACACACAGCTATGTTTGCAGCATTTCGGAAGTGTTTTTCCTCTGTAGAGAAACCAGCAAATTGTTATTCTTGCATAAACAATCCTATGTAAGCTTAAGTCAATTTTTTTTTTTTACCTTTTTCTTTATAGTAGGGACGTAACATGCAGGCTGTTGCAAAAATCCAGTTATGCAAGTGAGGATATGTCAGGTGAAAAACTCATATACTTCCTGCAACATGTCACTGAAATGTCCTTTAAGTCTTGCTTGTGATTTCTTTACTCTAGCTGTAATAGAGGCAGCCAACAAAACACCTTTTTTGTTTGTATTGGCATTGATAGTATCAATCAATTGTATTTTAGATGCAGATACAGGATGCTGTTTCCCAAGTTTTCTTTGGCCACTTAAGTTCTTAGGGAAAGTAAGTTTAGACCAGAAGAGAGCAGTGAAAGCACACCTTTCCTGAACCTCAGAGATCAGTAAGCTAGTGTTTGCTGTGTGCAGGTGGAGTGCCAGGTATGTGTACCCATATGTTGATTATTTCTGCGTGTGGTCTCAGATTTACGTGTTTTGAGTCACCATTCTTTTTCCTCACATCTTCTGCCATTCTGCACAGAGCCATCGCGCATTCAGCAGAGCTTGGCCAGCGGCTGGTGTGAGCTGGCATGGTCTCCAGCCCAGATATGTGTCCTTCCCTAGTGACAGCATTGCTAGGAAATTGTGAAACTCTCCATGCCAGACCACTGGTCTGGTTAACTAAGAGTTTCGGATTTCTTCTTTTTTTTTTTTCAAATGCTTTTTCTGTTTTCCAGAAAGGCTGCTTTTGTTCTTGTAATCTGTCAGCTGAATAAGAAAGACTGATTATTTATTGGGGTTTTTCCACATTGAGGCAGCACAATTTGCATATGTCAAATGCAGTTTTATGTTCCCTGGTTTCATTATGGGAACACCACAGTCCAAAAAAACAAGAGACACACATAGAGGCAGAAAGAGAGAGAGAGGGAAAGATGTTTTGTCATTTGCCTTTTAGTTTGAAAGTACATCGAAATACAGTTATAATTTCACAGCATAGGTGGAAAGGTTGAGTGTCTGCCCCTTGGAGTATAAAAATATTAGCAGACTTGTGAGCAACAGAGAAATGAATAAAGCAATAAAACCATGGGTGTTCATTTCACTACCCAGTAAAGGTTATTTTCCAAAGCCCCAACTCCTGCTGACTTTAATCTGTACCCTGGAGTATTTCTCAGCAGCTTTTAAGCCTGTATGCTGTGGTTTATCTTTGGTTTTAATGACAGTTTATATAAAGGTTTCCTTTGCAGTGATCACAGAGAGCTGGATGGATTGCTGTGCTCTCTTAAATGGCCGCCAAGGTAATGGGCACAAATTGGCTGTCCCAGTACACTGGATAAAGCTGTGGGTAAGGAGAAATTGGGGGTGGTACTGGCCAGTTGTCAGCTTTACCGCCTGTCTGTGTCGGACAACCCTACTCTGTCCGTTGGACAATGAAGATTTGGGGAAGTTCTGTTGTGCTCTGCACCCTTTTGAGCACTGTGTCTGTCTATATATTTTAATTCCAGGTGAGGAATGGCCAGATCATTCATATCACCTGCAATATTCATTCAGATATTAAAGTAGAACCAAGTGAATGCGAAATGAGCAGCAATTACAAACATCATCTAAGAGGCATGGAAATAGTGCTTCAGCAATTTCCATTTTTGCAGGATGTAAGTTTCCTGTGGGCAAATGGGTGGAAAGGTCTTGTTGTGTGTGAGTGTGTGTGTGTGATTAAGCAGTGCATACCAGCTTGCTGATTTGAGAGTAGTGTGGCTAAATGAAACCTGGTTCTATCCAGCTCTTTCAAATACTCCCTTACTCCCTTTTTTCTGTGCGGCTTTTATCTGACAGATGTACCATGAAATGAGTACAAAATCAGGCATATATCATAATACTCTGAGGAACTCAACTTTATGCCTCAGCTTTTCATGTCTTCAGTTTCTCCTGAAGTTATGAAGTTATCGAGATTCTCAGCCTGTGTCAGTATTACCACTGTCCCTTCTTCAGTTTGTGGAGTGAGGTGTATTTACATTAGCTTAGAGACTGGTTTTATGTTTTCACTCAGGACAGAGGAGACCTGAGATCTGGGGCAAATAAATACCCTGTCCGTTTTCATGAGGAGACTGAGGCTGTAAGAACGTTTCCCAGTTCGGTCACGGCAGTTTTCAGAGAACACAGCAATGCTATTACTCAACAGGAAGTTGGTGTGAGGTTAGGTAGAAGGGGATTTCCAGCCTTGTGACTTCTCTGCGCTTAAATCTTTGCTTTCCTTTGTTGTTCAAATATGAAATTTCACCTTACGTTCTTTTCCTTCTTAAAAGCTCATTCCACTGATCAGTCAAACAGTGTTTAAATACTATTGCTTGATTTAGTTAGTTGAGTTATACTGTTATACTCTGTTATACTTCCTGCTTGGACTTCTGAGAGGTCTTTGGAGAATCAAGGGCTTTCTTCCTCTTGCATCCCTGCAAATAATTGCTACAGGAGGAATGATCCCTTTTTTTGTTTGTTTGTTTTTTGTTTTTTGAGGAGGCCAGCTATGCTGTCCCTGATAGCCAAAACAAATATTTCATAGTCCAATAATATAGTTTACAATAAGACCCAATTCTAGCTTTACTCAGGTTTACCCTCCAAAACAAAAAAAAAGAGAGTTTGTGCATTGAGAAGCGTATTGCATTCAGAGTAACAAGATTAGACATAAATGGCAATGATTCTGGAATCACAAGAGTGATAAATCAGAATACTGGGCAGAGAGTCCTTCAACAAGCAACAATTCTGCCTTAATCCCACTTGGATGTCGTTCTGTTTTCCATTTACTCACAAACATGTCCCAGC